TCTCATGACATTACTGGATGGCAGATGGTGTGTGATGTGACAGAATTAGGTTTATTTTGATTGTGACCCAGAAACACAGACGGGACTGGACTCTTATTTAATTCTAGAGTGATGTTGGTTGTGTAGTCAGAGAGAAATGATTCAATGAAACCACAGAGATGTGTGGGCCTTTAGAGTGAAACCTGCCACATCACACAAATACTCCTACAATAATCTTACCATCTAAATGCATTTCCCAAAATGTGCATCAAAGTCATAAAAATTGCGCTAATGTTTACATGACAATTAAGCATTAAGGTAACGAAATTTGCACCTTAAGGGAATATTTCACCCCAAAATTAACATTTTCTGTACATTTTCTCACCCTCAGACCATCCAAGATGTAGATGAGTTTGTATCTTCATCAGAACAGATTTGGAGAAATGTAGCATTGCATCACTTGCTCCCCAATGGATCCTCTGCAGTGAATGGGTGCCGTCAGAATGAGAGCCAAACAGCTGATAAAAACATCACAATAATCCACAAGCAATCCACACCACTCCACTCCATCAGTTAACATCTGGAGAAGCCAAAAGCTGTGTGTTTGTAAGAAACAAATCCATTATTAAGATGTTTTAACTTCAAACCATTGCTTCTGGCTAAAATATGAGTCCTCTATAATAGTGCTTTCTCTAATGAAACAGCTGTCTGGTCTGAATCAGGAGAGAAATCTGCACAGATCAAGCACCGTTTACAAGCTAAAACAGCTCTAAACAAATATGTGGCTGGATTTTGATGCGAGAGACAACAGGAGATGGACTTTTTCACTGGAGGAAGCTTCATTATGGATTATGGACTCATATTCTGCCCAGAAGTTAAAAACGTCTTAATGATGGATTTGTTTCTAACAAACTCGCATCTTTTGGCTTCACAAGATGTTAATTGATGGACTGGAGTGGTGTGGATTACTTGTGGATTATTGTGATGTTTTTATCAGCTGTTTGGACTCTCATTCTGACGGCACCCATTCACTGCAGAGCATCCATTTGTGAGCAAGTGATGCAATGCTTTTTCAGCATTTATTTTTCATGTTTGTGTGAACTATTCCTTTAATGGGTCTTTAAAATAGACCTACATTTTATTTATGCTAAATATAATTTTGTTTTATTTTGGCCAATGTGTATTAAAAAAATAAAGAAAGTACTGCTACAAATTAATCAACAACTAACTCACCACTCCATCTTGAGATTTAGTCTTGAGGTCCAATTTAACAATCCCAAAACCTACAAACAAAACAAAGACATGAATTACAGCAGAATGCAATTCATCCTGTAAAGCAAACATCTTCTCCAAAACGCTGCGAGTTTTCTCACCGAAACCCTTGCTGAAAATGTCCTTGGCCGCTTTCCCCAGGTCTGAGTATGCAGGAGGAACAGCCATTATATCTGATACATAAACGAAAGGGAAAATATCAGCATATTTGAACCATCACTAAGCTACAAGTAATGTCAAAAGAAAGCGGGGATGAAACCGCAGATAAAGCAAACCCACAAGATGGCATTATCAGTTACCAAACCCACTGTGTGAACGTAGTTCATAGTAGTTGTTCATTTTCTAGCCTTGTAAAATATTCTTTCATAATCTGTACATGATTGCATTCTGACTGCCAACGCATTTCACTTATAAACTTAATTAAAACATTTTTATGAGGGCCTGTTAGATGCTGGAAAATAAGTGGACAACCAGCAAATTATAATTTGGTTGCATGCAAAAAAATAATGCCAGCCAGCCTCCTTCATATGCAGTGCATCTATTTGTGCATGATTATCCATGTGGGTTTTTTTAATTGTACAAATAAACTGAGATGTAGGCAGCATTTTAGAGCATTAGAGATGTCTAAGACACCTAAAAATGCTGCCCATGTAGTGTAGGCATATTTAGTGATATTAGAGCAGCAAAACAGGGCAAAACGTCACATTTAATCATTACCACAGCACAAGACTACACATTTAACAAGGAAAAGTTGTTTAAATATAGACTATGGGGTGAGATTATGAAAAGGAGCTGCTGTGCAGTGCTATAAAGACACTACACAGAACTGAGTCGATATTTAAAGTTGTTAAAAATAGAATGATAAATTTGTAACGAGGATACTGTTGCTGTTGAGACAGAAATAAAACGATGATGCGAAATGCAAGCAGAAGCTTTAGTGTGTCCTGTGTTTCTGATTGCTACAGGACAAAGTGAAGGAGACACAGAAGCGATTGCTAAATAAAAGTCAGTGAGACATTAAAAAGTGGGGGGTTTTCCACAAATAATATGATCAATTTCTTATAACCATAATTCCCAGCAATTACAGCAAATATTCTACAATGGTATTTTCACAGAAATTGTGGTTACCATAGTAAAGTTTTGAAGGGGCTTGCAAATATGAGACAGTTTTTCCCCTTTTTTTATTTTTATTTTACTTTTTTCGTTTATTGTTATTCCAAAGTACTTACACATTAAATCTCCAAATGCAGACAAATGAGAAATAACAGAAGCTGCAGTTTACAGTTAAAAATAATTATGTGCCCATATTCATCACTGCTTTATTATTAGCCTACTCAAACACGCACACACGGTTACCAGCAGATGTCATCACCTTCACATAATGCTGCTCTGATTGTTTTGTCTGGATGACTCGGAAATTCCCATGCCTTTTTTATTATAAATAAATTAATCAGTTATATTTTTTCCACATGCTTTGTCCACCTTTACCTCTTAAAGAGAACCATACAAATGATGCATGCAGAATCGATAACAGGGAGATACTATTATAATTATTTAATATAATAATATTTTGAATTAAAAAATCTTTTTATTTTAATTTTTAGTAATTTTGTTGTTTTGTCATTTTTTAAAATTATTTTATGATTTTTAAAAAAAATAATTTTCAGTTTTGTTTTTATTATTGTTTTTAAATATGTCTATACAGGTTTAATAGTATGGAGGGCGAAACCTGCAAAAACAATAAATAAATAAATACTCAAATAAAAAAATAAATATGCAAATAAATAAATAAATGTGTGTATAAATACACAAATTCTTGTTTAAATACATATAGAAATAATTAAACATGTGATTAAAGTAGGCAAATAAATAAAATAAATGTGTGGGCAAATGGAAAATGTTTAAGGAAATGCTAAACGCATCCTATTTATTTTCCTTTGATCACTCATTTATTTCTGAATGTAGTTCCGCATTTATTTTTCCTCTGCACAACATGCTAATGAGAGGGTGTCAACCATGAACTTGCTCGGGTCTTGTGATAGCTGGGGGCGTGGCTTTCCCGCTGACAGGAGCTGCATGGTGTAAATCCAGTATAGCCTAGTAAAGTCACTTTTGCCGTTCAACAGAGCAAGATACATAGAAAAACTGAGCCGTATTGTCCGTACAGTATCTGTGACTTTACAACCGACCCAACGGGATGGCCGGAGGTGTCATTTCCGGCATTCGATATTCGCAAATCTAGGGACCGTCTCTAAAGTTACATACGACGTTGGTATACACTTTTCTAACTTCAATAGCATTTGAGGAAAATTACTTACAGTAACACAACCAACTGTGAAGTGGTCATGTAGTTCCCGGTTATAATGCAAACCTTTTAGATTTTTGATATTTATTCAAATAAACTGTCAAATCATATATAAATATGTTGTTTATTTCACTACCGAATGGGCTCAAACACAAAATATATATCATAATT